AGCAGCCAAGCAGCCAAGCAGCAGCCAGCAGCAGCAGCCAAGCAGCAGCAGCAACCAAGCAGCAGCAGCAACCAAGCAGCAGCAGCAGCAGCAGCAAACAGGAGCAAGCAGCCGCAAACAGCGGCAAACAGCAAACAGCAAGCAGCAAACAGCAAGCAGCAATCAGCAAGCAAGCAGCAGCAAACTGGAAATGTCATGCGTGCACTCGCTTGTAGTGACTTTGCGGCTCCGTGTGCTAGATGGCTTAGGCAAAACATTGCTCACGCGTGATGCATAATCCTAAAAAATCAAGAACGGGCATCGTGACCACCAGGATGGCCCCCCTTGAGCGTGCAAGGATGCGGCGAAGCACCCCGCCAGGGTCACCGAAGTTGCGAGGCGCAGCTCGATTCCTGACAAAGTGTCACCTCAAGAAACCAAGCCACGCCTCACCTGAGAGTGTCTATTCGTTGCGTTGCAACAAGTGCAGCAACCCTGAACCGCATGAATGGCATCAACCGTACCATGACACGAGTTGGGGCAGCGCGACAATAATATAGTTAATTTAGGATGCACAAAGGGAAAACTCAACTACTGCCATGCTTCCACCAAACATCACCAAACTCTTCATCACCCGCTTCCCCCACCGAACTCTTCGCTCATGCCCCAACAGCAGCAACCAGCAAGCAGCCAAAGGCAATCAGCAGCACCAAGCATGCAAGCAGCAAGAGACCAAGCAGCAGCAGGTACTGAGGAGAAGGGTGGAGTTGAACCCGCGGGGGGTTAAAGCCTGATAAATCAGGTATCTACACTCAGGTCCTCGGCTCCCACCCTCCTTGCTAAAGCAAGACAGACTCCAGCTAGCTACAGCTAGCTTTCGTGACAAGAGTGTCCCACAAGAGTGTCCTACAAGAGTGCCCCGTAAGAGTGACCCACAAGAGTGTCCTACAAGAGTGTCCCACAAGAGTGTCGTACAAGAGCGTCCCAAAACAGTGCCCCGCAAGAGCTTCCTACAAGAGCGTCCCAAAACAGTGTCCCACAAGAGAGTTTCCTACAAGAGTGACCCACAAGAGTGTCCTGTAAGAGTGTTCCACAAGAGTGTCCTACAAGAGTGACCCACAAGAGTTTCCTACAAGAGTTTCCCACAAGAGTGTCCCACAAGAGTGTCCCAAAAGAGTGTCCCACAAGAGTGTCCTACAAGAGTGTCATTTGGACATATGTAGCTTTTCGAACGTGTTTGCATTCGGGTTCGTGGGCTCCATCTTGTTTCTTTTTTTGGGGGGGGGGTGGTTATCATTCTACAAGAACATCTTTTAAAACGCGCGGTGCCACCCAAATCCCACATGGCCATATCAACAAAAACAACTCATGGCGAGCTTCATCGCGTCATGAAAACGCAACTGCTGTGACTACAGCAGTGGTTGCTCCAGTTAAGCCAAAGCCTCTTCGGGCATTCAATGCAAACACTTGATGATGCCGTTCTATACAATTAATTTATACATTGCCACTAAATTGCCACTGCAGCATTACATCTGTTCTGCGGCTGCTTTCACCATAGTCCCAGCTGCAGCAGCATACAAAGGGCGCTTCAAAGGACATGCAATAGGGAACCTGGGATAAGAACCGCTTGCAGTTCTTGTGTAGGTCCCGCACCGTCAAACCGATGGGAGAGCCTTCACAAAGAAAGTTGTTGCTCCTTGATTGGCAGCCATAACCTCAGCATCAGGGCTTGAACATCCCAATGCGGCTATTAAAAATATACAGCACATGCAAGTTGCATCTATGCAAGGTATGGCAGCCTGCAAGTTCGTCAAACACCAAATCTCTCGGTGAGCGTACTCTCCAGTGCAGGACGCAAGGCCGAGCCACATGGACTGCTCGGACGTGGAATGGCAAATGAAGGGTGGATGAGGTCCGGCTAGAGGGTTGGGCGCGTAGTGGGCTGCATCCTCATCAGAACACATGAGAACAGGACACTCTAAAAAGAAAGGTAGATTCTTATTTTAAAGGCCCGGGGGGGTAGACCTAGCTACTAGCACGCTACTACCTAGGACGCAGGATAGCTCACACTTGCACTAATGATTTGGTTCCTGGATTTTAGGGAAACTAGTACGCTAGTTTGTGTTCAAGATGCGTGTCATTTGGTTCACTTGAACTTGTGCGCTTGCTGAGAATGGTTCGTCTGGAGCTATCACCAAGGCAATCTTGGAGCCAGCACCTTGAAAGCAAGTCAGCAACCGTCTGACCAACTTCTACACGCGTGCTACCTGACAAGAAGCACGCTGTGCAAACCTTGCTCTTATCTCCGTGACCCCCCAGAGAGATGGCATAACACATCCGAAAAGCTACGCTCTGAAGACCTCAACTCTCAAACCAACCGCCGCGCATGACAAAGCCTTCCATCTGGCTGAGACAAGCGCGAAAGCGGTATGCCACTGGGAAAAACTTCAGCCTTGCTGTAGTGGTCTCGCCTGCTTTCAACGAAGTATTCCTTTGCAACTAGTAAGCACTTCCCTGCTTGTCCTGCCAAACTGGAATGCATTTTATGTACCGAATGGTGGCAAACGCTGTCTAGCGTAGAGACCACATCCTTGACACTCTTTGTTTCTTGCCATTTCTTGCCTGCCTGCTTGCATTCTTGATTCAAAGAGGTGCGCGCACCATGCGCTACAGTTTCTTTCCCAGGTCCAAGAGTCTGACGCTTGATACGTTTTGTGTTTCGTGACATGTTTTGTGTGCACCTTTGATCTCCAATGACAATCTGTCTCTCAAAATCAGGGTTGCATGCAGTCGACGAATCAAGGAACCCTTTGGCACACATCTGGTGGGTCCCAACCTTCTGCCGGCAGCATCTGAATGTCCTGCCGCCTGCAATCACTGAATGGCTGACATCAGGATGATGTCTGAATTCGGTGCAAGGCGCCTATAGCTGTGGTGAGGCACAACGCCAAACGAAGCCATTGAGGAGTCTGATGAGTGGGGATCGGCGGCCTGCGGCATCATGGGCTCTCTCTGCCTGTCTTTGATTGGCCATCTGCTGCTCTGCAATCATCAATCAATTATATAACTGGATACGGCGGAAAGATTTCCAAATAGGCAACCCGCAGGGGCAACGTCATACCTGTGGCGAGCCTGGTCCAACATGTTCATTTCAGAATGGGTTCTTTCACTTTCTACCATGTTTATTTTTTGCACTTCACTTGCGCAAACATGTCCTGCTTGACATTGACATTTGCCTGTTCAATTATTCTATAATTTATGCCTTCCAAATTTGTTTCACTCTCTCTATGGGTTCTGTTGTGTGAGCTCAAGATAACTTGCTTGTTCTCAATCACTACAGTACCACATTTGCAAATGCTGGGTTCAACAACTTATGAATCACGTATATTATATACTGCGGAAACTCCTTTGGTCACTAAAGCGGCCTGCGGTCAGATGTACGCTTCTCTATTTGTGCGTGTCATGTCTTAGACATGGGAGTGAGTCCTTTACACCAAGTTTCGTACTCCTCCTTCACGGATGGAGTGTAAACTCTTTTCATGACCCTCATGGTCCTTCACGGCTGCTCAGGCATACATATCACCAGCCATCTCGTGATCTCCTGCCCTCGTGGCATGATACCACGTGGCCTCAATCTTTGCAAGCTCCTGTCGAGCCTTCAAATCTGCCCTGTTGTAGGGCCTGTTGCCAGGCATCAGGATGTCTGTCCTGGATCCTCATCTTCATCCCCAGGACTTGGCTCAGGCTCCGGTGGTGGATCCGGTGCCTGGACAACCTCCCTGCCAATCTCCAAGTACTCAATGGGGATGTCGACAACCTCCCCACTGTCCAGCTCCACGGTGGCTGTTTCACCACTCAGCATCCTTGCATCACCAGGATCATCGTGATCATCTCGTGGTGGTCCAGGATCATCCACAGAGAACCTGTTGGGAATTCTCGATTCGCCTTGTTCCTGTCTTCTCTGATTCACTACCTCCCACTGAACTTTGAGATGTAGCCCTTCATGACGTCGGTTGATCTTCTCCAGGAACTTCAGCGTTTCCCATTCTAAACCACCACGAATCGAATGATCCCCAAGGCTCGGTGGATCCTTTGAGTGTAGTCCACTTGCATCGACCACGCTCGCTCTTGCTCCTCTCCGGCACTGATGTGGTTGTGCTTCACCACTTCCAACTCACTCTCGATGATCACAATTCGGTTTTCCAGGTCCCTGAACTTTCTTCGAAGCCACCATACCAGGAAGATCGCCGCCGCAATCATGACGAGGTAGAAGAGCTTTTCGATGTAGTTGGTGTTCTCTGATAGGTCTGGGTCCACTCTTGCGCCAGTAGCCAACTCAAGAGCGCTAACGAAGACCAGCCTATTCAAATACTTTGCAATCTTCATCACCTTTCCTTTTTCAATGTGCTGCTCATTGAACTGTTCGAACTCTTGCTGTCCAACTCGTTCACCTTCAGCATCTCGAGCTTGTAGCCAGTGTAAGAGCAGCTTCAATCGGCTCCTTGACAATAGCTTGGTTCCAATGTCTGAGATGTTCTTGGCCGTCCCAATCTGTCGAACCTCCAATTCGCCACTTGCTACTTTGTCTTGACACCAAAGCAGCTTCCCACTCACATGTCGTAGCTTCCCAGCTCCTCTCTTGCGTGCAATTTGTCGAGTGGCCGAGTTGTCTACGCGGCAAATGTGGTGAACATCATCTCCTGTAAGGAACTGTAGGCTGTGCTTCAAACAGGTTCCATCACATGCTCCTGAGACAAGGGCGTGCAGTTCGCTCTCTGCTGATGACAAACTCACCACCTTCTGTCCTCTTGAAGAGCAATGCAGCATGACTGCATGTACAGCAGATGAGGTACTTCTTCGGGTAGCCCTGTTCCCACTCCAGTCTGCATCTGTATAGGTCTCCAAGATCCAGAGATAGGGACTGTGGGCGCTCATACCCTCACCTCTCTTCGGCATTGGGAGCATCATGGACTGATCTGCAATATCCCAGGAACTTCCTCATCTTCTGGATGGAAATTTCTGTAGGACTCGACATCTTTCCTGCCAGCTCCTTGATGCAAAAGGAAATGTCACGTCTCTCTTGGGCTAGGTAGATGCCCATGCCAACTACCGACCTGTAGATTGCTGCTTGTTCCGGTGGGACTGTGCTCGAACCATCAAAGTCTTGAATATCTGATGTCGCATGTCGCCGGAACTCGTTGCCTTCTCACCACCCCGAAGTAGTCCTCAAAGGTCTTCGCCATGCTCGCTGCATAGCCTCCAGGCTTAATCAAAAGCCCTTCGGTTGTGTAGATGTACTTCCTCTTTAGGAATAAAACTCTTCTCCATAGTCCTTCACCATGTTGACCTCGACGTCGAACATCTTCTTCATCTGGTCGATGTAGTCCATCACTGGCTTCTCCCTGCCCTGCCTGTGAACAGGATATCATCAACGTGGATCAATACGGAGACGAGCTCTTCTCCTGTTCCCTTCTTCCCCAAGCATGGGTTGATGATGTCGAAGGAGAATCCCTGTTCTTCAATCAGTTAGGATCTCAAGTGCTCATACCAGGCCTTTGCACCGATTCTCTGACCCGGCAAATTTCGCAGCACTTTGTACTCTCCCATTGCCGTCACAATGCGCAATGGCCTCTCCTGCGGGACTTGGAGGAAGGCATCCTTGACATCCAAAGCTCCAATAACCGGCCTGCCCTTGTTGTGCTCATAGTCAGTCTCATAGTCCATCTCAGCACTTGCTGCAATCAAGAAAAGCACGGGCAATAGGCGTAGGGCATGTTGACCACTCGCCGGGCTATACACATCATCTCTCTTCTCGATGGCGTAGTCCCTATAAACAAGCCTTGCTCTCCTCAGCCATCTTTTGTGCTTCATGCCATTCTTGTCCACATAGGTCTTGATGCGCCAGTCATGGACAAACCTTGTTGTGAGCACATCCAAATTCGCTTCCTCCGGTTTCAGCTTCTCGATGACATCCATCCTTGTTAATCTCTTCTCTTCCACCTTCCTGGCCACTGCATCAACTTCTTCTGAAGGTTGTGGGGGTGTCTGCGTCAGTGGATGGTTTGACCATAGCTCCTCTGGAATGGCACCTGGCTCGAGATCCTCAATCTCTTCTGGCCCACCTTCGATGGCTAAGGTCCACGTCGATGACCTCGTCCAAGTGGTAAAGGTCCTCGCCAGCCACATGAACACGTTCCACCCTTCTCTCAATCATCATTGTCCTTGAGGCTGATGAAGATTGTCCTTCTCAATCTGGCTCTTCGGTTCTCAATCTTGTACTTTCGGGCTCAACCTTGACTGCTGATGAAGGGGTGGGAATTTTCGCAAAATTCTCCCCTCAGGAGGCAGTGACTCCTCATCGTCCCATGGGAGTCCACCATAGGAACATCTCCTCCTGGGCCCCTACCCTCAGGCTGCGTTGCAAGAACTGGGGGTGTAGCTGTTCCTGTATTGGGCTCATCTAACTGCGGGGCACTTGGTGCTGGTAAACCTTCAGCAGCATCTTGTAGTTCTGCCCTTTCTCGTTCCTGTCGAACTTCTTCAATCTCTTGTTCATGTTCTGCTAGCCTTGAGCTTTGCCTCGAGAACCCTCACCACTTCCGGCTCCATTGAGATAGCCCTCACACTACCCTCTGCCACCAAGCTCTTGTTTTGAAGGCGCAGAGGAATTCTGATCTCATGATCACCTGAACCATAGACTAGGGAATGATTTGTGATTCCATCAGCCTTCCAAATGACAAGATAGGCTGTGAAATACCCTTTGAGAAATGGGCCTTTTCGAAGATCTGGATCTCCTTCCCGCTCTCTGCCTCAAACACGAAGCAGACACTTTTGTAGCCCTCGATGGAGATTTGCTCACCTTGGGCGTCTTGCAACACAGGTCCATCCTCCTCAACCTCAACGCCAGCTGCTAGGTAGGAGATCGGGAGAACTGTTGCACCTGCTCCAGAATCCACAATGATTGAGCAGGTTCCGTAGGGATCGTGCTCCCGGCTTCCAGCTTGAACCACCATGATGTTCAGCTCCTTCTCATCGGCCTTGTTGCCAGTGCCGCAGTCAACAGCAACACCTTTGTGAATGGCTTCGCGCCCTCCCAGTTGGCACTTGGTAGAGAACCTTCATTGCCTGGCCTCATCTCCGACAAACGCACTGGACCCTTGCAACTGCAGGTTTCCGAGCAAGAACGTCTTCATCGACGACTGGCCATGAAGTTCTCAGCTCAACAAGCATGTGGAAAAGCAGAAATTGATGTCAAGCTGCGCAGAGCTTTGCTGCGCCGCTATGGTGGACGAGACGAAGATCTTCATCCTGGTGAACGATGCCTCTACTGGCGTGATGCTGCCGACAAGGCTCATACCATTCGATGGAAAGGTCCTGCCATTGTCCTGGCCATTGAGCGCAACCCTGACACTGGAACAATAGCATGCTACTGGTTGGCTCATGGAACGGTGCTTCTTCCTGCAGGTTCACAGCATGTGAGAAAGCTGGTCAACGACTCTGGTATGGTGAACGGCTCCGATCGAGTGAAGCAAGCCCTCAATGATCTTCGGCAGCGCCGTGCAGTGCGCATCATCGATCTTCGCAAGTCCAACAAGAGATCGATTGACGAGGTGGACCCAGAAGTGAGTGATTTTGAGTACACTCCAACTGACACTGAGGCCCCACCATTGACTATGTCTTCGCCCGCGGCACCTGATGGTCATGTATCTGGGAATAGCCAAGAGCCACTTACATCTCGTGTGAGAACGGAGACTCCTGCGCAAGAAGCCCAAGAACCTGGAGTGGCATCTTCACCTCCGGAAGACCAAGCAAACAGTGAACCACATCCCGAACTACAAGAACTACATGATCACCCAGAGTTGGCCTCCGAGGATGAAGAACAGCCGATGGATGAACCTCCTCACACGAGTACTCCAATGGCTCTTCCAAATCCTGCTCATCTACCAGCCGTGCCGGAAGACAATGATCTTGATCTCCCAGCTCCAAATGAGCCAGACACAGGACAGCAAGAAGCACCTTGACAGGCAACCAACAGCGCTCCTCCAGCGGTTGATGCTTCCTACCTTCCACCTGAGACTCCAGAATCCTTTCAGCGTCGACGTCGATTCGACCAACAAGAAACCATATGGGCAAGAAAGAAAGCTCGCACTGGCGAAACTGATGTGGAGGTGGATCTACATTCTTTCGACCTCACCAAGTCCAATGCTCTCCCTTCAGGCTGGCGCTGTGACGTGAAGAACAACGAATTTGTCTTGGGAGTCGCGCAGGACTGGTGAAGTTTCGAAGATGGTTTCCTGGTCCGGAATCATGTATGGGGTCGCACAACCACATATCATCCGGAAGAGTTTCCCATCTCCAACGACCTCCTGCAAACAACCACTGGTTTGTCAATGCAGCAGGGACTATCTATGTCAACTCCTCCGAAGAGCAGCACTTCAACGAAGCCTCGACTCTAGATCCTCTCACGTCCTCAGGTGCTGAACAATATGGCCTTCACTACATCGGCGACCTCGCCAACAAGCTGAATCGTTGCAAGCCACATTTGGCAAGCTGTTGGTGCCGGTGCAGGTGCCCAAAAAGAAGAAGGTGAAGGACAGCGCCGACCTCAACGAGAGGCGCATGAGCTTAGAAGACAGGTTGTCATTCCTGGAGGGCAAGAAGGCCGAGCTGTCAAGCATGTTTGAAAAAATTGTGTTTGGGAAATTGAGATGAACCCTGAGTCCGTCGACCACAGCAGAGTCATGAAAGCCCGCTTCGTTCTGAAATGGGCAGCAGATGGCAAGGGAGGCTTGAAGGCGAAAGCACGCCTGGTCCTTCAAGGATTTTCAGATCCCTTCTACAAGGAGCTCTGGACACTTCCTCACCGACATTGTCGAGATCTTCAAGGCAAGTCCTGCTGGCGATCAGCCAGATCTGCCATTGGAAGAGGTGGACTGCAGACGTGTCCACAGCATTCCTGCAGGGAGATCCACAAGAGCGAGTCCTATGGGCCAAGATCCCCAGAGACGCTTGCAACCTCATCGGCGTCGCTCCTGGGACGCTCATGAAACTAATCAAGCCGATCTACGGCCAGGCTGACGCTCCTCGACAATGGTTCATGGTGGCACGACGAAGATTGGAAGGCCTTGGCTTTCGTGCTCATCCCCTCGATCAGTGCTTGTACACCTACTACGACTCCAACAAGGCTCTGATCTCAATGGTCGGACTTCACGTCGACGACCTACATGGCTGTGGAAAAGATGGCGCTCCAGAATATTAACACCTCAAGCACCAACTCAATCAGGCATTCAACTTCAAGCGCTGGACTGAAGAAAGTGCTGAGAAACCTCTGGAGTTCTGCGGCTGTCATTTGAGTCGAGATGCAAATGAATCCAAGCTTCATCAAGCCGAGTACCTCAAGAACGTCAAGCCCATGACTTGCACCGACTATGGCTCCAACCGCAGCCTCAGCACCAAAGAGCAAAGCTGCTTACGCGCCCTGCTGGGTGCCTTGCAGTGGCCTGCAACTCAGACTTCTCCTCATTTGAGCGCCTCAGTCTCTCTACTATGTGGCGAGGTCACAGCCGCCACTGGCGACACAGCAGCTCAGGCCAACAAGGTCCTTCGCTTTGCCAAGTCCAACAGTGACGCAGCATTGATCTTTAGAGATCTTGGTGGTGACATGGAGAACTGTGCATGGTTGCTATGAGCGACGCTGCATGGGGAGTTCGCCGCAACAGCGAGCCCCAAGGAGGCTATGTGGTCTTCCTCTGCACTCTGCAACCAACAGATCTTGGAGGACGGCTCAACCCAGGACTACACGGTCTTGGACTGGCGCAGCTTCAAGCTGCTGAGGGTGAGCAGATCTTCACTCAATGCCGAGAGCCAAGCATGCTCAGCGGGCATGGACGCCCTCGAATACCTCCTGATCTTCTGGGACGGCTGCGTCCGCTACGACTTCCAGCTGAGACAGGTGGACAACTTCACACCTGAAATGGCCTCAGCACTTGTCGTGGACGCCAAGGCCCTCTACGACTCTCTCAAAGCTGAGACTCCGAGCTTGCAAGGTGACAAACGCACCAAGATAGAGGTGATGGTGACCAAGCAGAAGATGCTGATCATGAAGTCTCGTCTCAAGTGGGTCTCCTCAGAGGCTCAACTGGCCGATGGGGTCACCAAGTTCTCTGCTCGGCAACTCTTTGCCGACAGGTTGCGATCTCACCACATCTCTCTCCAAGCTGACATGAGCTTCCAGGCATCCAAGAAGAAGACAATGGCCGAAAGACAGGCCAGCGCTCGACGACACGCCATCACAAAGACCGGCAACTCCAAGCACTTGGCCTTCGCTGTGCTCACCTCACAGATGATTGGAGTGAAAGCCGTAACCATGGAGGACACGCTGACCTTCATGCTGAGCCCGGAGATGATCATGATCCTCTACACGATGGCGATTGGCATGCTTCTTTGGCAGTTCTTTCGCTGCTGCAGCGCTACTTCCTGGCTTTCCTCGATTAATTACCAGAACTACGTGGACTATGAAATCCACGAGCTCTATGGCAATGGGCACGCAGACAGAGAAGGAGCCAGAGACTGATCTCAAAGTTCTGATGGCCGAAAACCTACGGCTTCAAGATCTCGTCCGAGATCAGGAAGCCGAACTTTTTGACCTACAGGCTCAATGCACTGCCCAGGAAGAAGAAGTCGAGCAGCTGATTGACACCAAACGCTACATGCAATGTGAGCTGCAAGAGGTTGAAGGCGAGCTCAAGAAAGCCAGGAACAACTGGATCGATGTGCACAACCGCCTGGCAGCAGTCCAAGACGATTTGTCAAGGCATTGGATCCCTCGAACGATCCTCACCACCAAGAGCGGAAAGTCGTTCCACACGGCAACTGACTGCCAAGCCTTGTCACCAGCAGACCACTCACAATTGAAGCAGTGGGGTTGCTGTGCATACTGTGGCCAGAAGGCCTTAGAGAAGTGGCGCTCCATTTGACGCCCTTTTGTTTAGAGCCATTTTGGCCTACAACCACCGGTGTGGATTTCGTGCCACGAAACCGGTTCGGACATGACATGATTTGTGTTTGCAGCTTTTGGCATGACCGCCGCTGCTTACGCTTTCGAATCCTGCTCCTATGCAGGGGCCCCTTGAGTCACGACATGACATTGGCACGCCCAAGTCAAAAGACACGTCTTTGCATTTCGTGTTCCCGGACGACACTTCGAGCGGTCGCACGGCAGTTCGCGTTTTCGCGTTCTTTCATAAGTATCTAGCTAGAAGCTACTAGTTCACGTTTTCTTGACAACAGGTCCTGACATGCTGTTTCTAGTTGAGTTGGAGGTTGTTCAGCGCATTACCTTACGGCGCGTCATAGAAACCAAATTGGACCTCTTTATCCACTTTGCTGGGTGCTCCTGCTAATCTGGCCTTCTCATGGTCAGGAGCCTCCTCCTCCCTTCGATAGGACAGGCGAAGTGCACCTGGGAATGTGATCAAGCCTAGTAGCGATGCCCTTCGTTCCTAGTAGCATTCTTGTTCCTAGTGGTACGGCCAGGAGCCCCTAGTAGCGTCCAATCGCTCCTAGTAGCGATGCCCTTTGTTCCTAGTGGCTTCTTTAACACTTCACTCAGTCTGAAGAGGTGAATCGTCGCAGAAAGTGATGCGAAAAGAGACCGAGCCCTGACCGTGTCATCGCGTTCGATCGCTCTGCCTTCTGTGATGTAAACAAGATCACCGCCGTCAGGAGGTCTCTCGCGAAGATAGGCAAAAATGTCAGCGTCCTGCATTTCAATTCCTTTGGTGACACCATTTTCAAAAACCATTGATCGATCTGGTTTTCTTTCGTTAACGTCCTGATCTTTGCTGCTCCGAAGTCGCAGAGTCAATACCGCGGAACCAATTACAGCCAAGGTGGTGGGGCAAACCGAAGTCTCAAATAGAAGCGCGCGTCCCTTTGCCACAGCTGACCTCAATTTCAGTCTGTTTCAACTGCCAACAACAAGTGCACACCCACAGCTTTAAGAGCTGCACGCTTTCCACTTGTACCTCACCAAGTCCTTGAAACTGCCATTTGCTCACAAAACTTGCGCTATGTCCAAATCTGGAAAGGCCTGCACTGAAGAAAAGCATTTCAAACCAGGCCAAAGCAAGTTATTGCGTTTGGATCTTTTCGGATTGCGTCTTTGTGGTGCAGTTGTTGGATGGTCAAAGAGTAGTGAGTAGTGAGTCGCATGTGGAATTTTGGCCGGTCCATCAACGCCATGCAGCGCACCCAACATGGCTTTTCAGGATTGTGGGATGGTTTCTGATGCATGAAGTCCATTCTGGCCGTTGTTTTGCTCAGAGAAGTTCCAACGCACGAAAAGAGCAGAACCGCTTGGTTCTGACTGAAAGCACTTGGTCCAGAATCATCAAATTGTGACGAGGGAGGACGTTTCTCGGCCGTTCAGTGAAGTGATAGTTTCGAGCGAAGAGGGCAAGTGAAGGGTAAGCGGCCAAGGCATCATCATGGGTCATGAGTGGTTTATAGCGAGTTATCTTTGGCTGCCTTTGAAAGCTTGGCCGGTTATCGTAGTGCTCTTGGTTGCTTGTTTGGCGATGGTTGGTTGCATCGCAGCACAAAGAATGAAGATTCTCATGGTCATGCATGTTTCAGCCCCCAAGGAAACACCAAAGAAATGACAGCAGCCCCATTGCATAGTCATTAGTCGCTGACTTGGATGGTTTTGTTGCCGTTGTGGCGCGCAAGAGGCCGCTGGTACAGTCACAGTTACCACTTCGTGTGATCAGACTTGAGAAGTCCACCTAGATTGGCAAGAAATCCTTGCTGCATGGAAGCATTGGACAATTTTGGTTCTTCCTCTGGTTCAGACGCTGTGTGGTTGGGAGGGTTATGCTTGAAGGAGTCTATGAAACTGATGCGAAGTTACTGAGACTGTTCTGAATCCAAAGCAAACGACTCTATAACCTTTCGGGAGCCTGCGAGAGCTGGATTTGAGGAAATAAACATGTTTGATTGGTTTTGGTTTGCTGATGTCCATTTCGGTTCAATTGGTTGATTGTCTGGTTTATTTCCTAGTGTTGTCTTCGCCAAATCATCACAACATGCCAGCCCAATCTGTTCTGTGGCTGGTGCTTGGCTACTTGCAAATGTTGCTACTTCGTTGTCTTGTGCTGCCAATGTTTGCCGCCAACACACTTTCACACGTGGCCACACGAATGCGCAGTATCTCCATGTGCAGCCGAAAGTCCATCATCCGGATCATAGCCGAATAGCGGGACACACCACCCCAAACCAGCTGCCGAGAAGCTGTCGCTTTTGGAAGCTGCGTGGATCCTGGCTCACAGGAAGTGGTGGAACTTTAAAGCGCTCAAAAGAACCTACGCTCAAACAACGTATCTCTTGAAAGGTATCCACCTCGTGAAACACAATTCAAGCAAAATGCAACGTCTATAAGTTCGGGCTTTTTCCTGTGTCAGGAACCTTCAAAGTGACTAAGAGAACCACTCAATTCGAGCGCGCGCTTATTGCACATGCAGAAAGGGAAAAACAAACGGCCCAGAAAAAGGAATATTTTGATACATATATATATATATTTCTACAGTCTTACCTATTGGGTGTTCAACCTTATTCTTTACATTCTCCGTGCCATTTGCCTTTGATACATGCTTGATTTCATTTGGTTTCCGTCGGGTCGGTCGGCACTGGAGGCGTGCTGCCTGTTGAACGCCCCCAGGCTCCAGATTCATTTATGACGGTGAACCAGGCGATGCCAAGGTGACCCTGAAAAGAAAAGAAACTGAAAGAAAGGCAGAAGTGGTGATGAAGGGAAGAAGAAGGCAAGGAAAGAAAAAGGAAGAAAGAGTCCTGGAGAGAAAGGCAAAAAATGGAAGGAGAGGAAAACAAAAGAACAAACCAACTATAACACAAAGGAACTACAGATTGAAGTAGGACTAAAATGCATTAGAAGAATTAACAGAGAAGGGGAAGGCTGCCAAAAAAGTTCCTGCCCTCCCGTGGACGTCAGGGATGAACTCTTCAGTGCAAAACCAGCCCTTCTCTCTTCTCTCTCTTTTCTCTCTTTTCTCTCTTTTCTCTCTTCTCTCTCTTCTCTCTGTCTCTCTCTCCCTCTCTTCTTTCTCTTCTTTCTCTTTTCTCTCTCTTCTCTCTCTCTTCTCTCTCCTCTCTCTCCTCTCTCTCCTCTCTCTCCTCTCTCGCCTGTCTCCTCTCTCTCCTCTCTCTCCTCTCTCTCCTCTCTCTTCTCATTTTTTTGGGCTCGGTGCTTTTCAGCTGTCTCCACGCTTCCTGGATCCTTCGCCTTGGACTGCCAACGTGGACACAACCACAAGTAATTACATGGCACCAGCCGTCAGCCCAATCCCATCTTCACCAAGTTCATGACTCCGAACTTGCGGGGCCAAATCGTAGCTGTACCTATTGTTGACCACGTGCTCGAACGCACTCACGGGCAAGCCGCTGATGCCGCTTGCCGTCCTCCCCTTGGCATTCACGAGCCGGCGGAAAACATCAACTCTGCCAGTCAGCTGTTCTCTCCATTCATGAATCCTTCAGCAAGCAATCTATGCGTCGAGCTGCAAGTCCATAGACAGCCAGCATCTTGGCATCACGCTCATGGATGGGCAGATCAGACTCGCTGACAACCTTGCCTCCTTCACAAGAGGAGTTCTGCAGATTGCATAGGGCTTCTTTGCCACATCTCCTTGGAACTCGCTGCCAACACCTGGCAAAACAAAAGAGGAATCCCGAAGAAACCTTCTCTGGCCTGGAATGGTGTCCGGATCAAGGGCACTTTCCTCCACCAGCTGCTTCATGGTGTCCTCAAGGGTCTTGAGCACCACTCCTGTGCATCGTTCAGCCTCTCTGGTCGACGCTTCAGCGTGTGCAGCGCAACTCTTGATTCTTTTCTTGCAGACTTCACACCGCACTCCAGCACGCACTTCTTGAAGCAGCTGTTTGGGGCATTCCTGTTCAGCTCTTTCTTTGGCAAACACTTTGGCACTTTCATCCAGCTTCCAAGGTCTGGTGATCCTCCGCATGAGCTGGCAGTGTTCTTGCTCTTGGATGTGGTCAGCCCTTTGATTTTGTAGTTCCCTCACCAGTTGCCGCTGCAAGTAGGGCCACGGGAAATCCAGATTGAGGTTGAGAGTGGGGAGGAACTCCAACGGCGCCCTGACCCAATCGTTGAGCTCACTTGCATTTCAGCTCCATGAGGTGTGCTTGGAGTGCGGCCATGGTTCCAGCCACCACCATCCGTGGATAGGCTGCACGTTGAAGTCTCTTCCAAGACAACCTCCACGCCGAGTGCAGTTCACCAAGTTGGTGTGGCGGCCATTTTTTTCAATGGCAGTATCCCTTGGGTCTTGCAACGTAGTCATCCACTCCTGAGGTAGGAGATCATCACGCCCCTCAAAGAACTTGCACCTCCAGATCAGGTGGACTGCAGTGAGGGTTCTGCACACAACGGACATTGGACTTGGTGCCCGTTGGCGTGAGTTCTCAGAGCCTCTCACCTTGGAGGACGCGGAGGCCAGTTTATCACCACCGCTGGGAACTCCAAAGCTTCAGAAGGCCCTCCAAGTCAACGTTGTCGTAGAAGTTCTGGAGGTCGAGCAGCAAAGAGGCCGTGCGCTTACCTGATGCTCTCTGCCCACTTCAGCTCGACGCAATCGCATCAATGCCACTTGGATCACGTGGGTGCCAGGAACCGATCTCTCCCACGGAAGCTGTGCTTTGATCTTGCGCTGCCATTTGCGAATTGCCTCCCATCTTCATCGGCCGCTCGATTGTGGGCTTCTTCGGCAGCAAGATGACCAGGGAAGTCTTGATTTGCTCCGGAAGGGCTGCGTCCAACTCCCACTGCCTCATGAGCTTGACCAATTCCCCCACTGCCTCAAATAGACGAAGCCTTGACCCTGTAGAGAAAGGCCCTGCTCTGGCGGATCAGATTGCTCCAGAAGATTGCTTTGGATGGTACTTCCCAGGCCTACACTGAATGGCTTGGCCAAGCCAGAGGGAAAGGTTTGAAGGGCCTGTACCGCACTTTGCGAAACCAGGATGTGTCCTTTGAGAGGCCTTTTCGGGATCCCTGTGCAGCAGAGGCAATGCAAGAGAGAGGAGCAGTGGTTTCGAACGGGCGCCATGGTGCAAAGAGGGGGCGTCTGAGATTTGAGGCTCAGGCGCAAGCAAGGCAGTGGGCGGACCTTGATGCCAATGTGCCCTGGGACACATTCCAGTGGTCCAGTGTGACCAACAGATTCCACCAAGCCAGTCTCCTTTCCTCCAAGGGCCAAACACTTGTCCTCGTGGGAGCGGTTTGGACTCAACCGTGAGATACCATCCTCGACCAACTTTGCGATTGTGGAGTCCTTGGAGGCAGTACTGCTCAGCTCGATGACAGAAGCCAGCAAGGGCCCGTGCGTCAGGTGCAAACTTCTGTCCCTGCCACAAAGGTTTCCCCATTCCCTCAGATGCTTCAATCCCTTCAAGCTGGGAACCGCCGCATATGTTGCGGAGCTGAGGAGCTGGGCTGTCTTGTTAAAGACCAGACGAAGCACTCCATGGGGTCGCCAAGGGACATTCCAGTCCACAGACAGCTTGGCAAAGGGATCTGGACACCAGGGCGTAATCAAGTTCGTTCCCTGTTAACAAGGTCGGCTACCCTGTGGCCAGAACTTCTGCTCGACAACATACACCCATGCCACATGGAAGGTTCAACGTTGAAATCTCCCATCACAGCCCAAGGGAGTGCAAGATCTTTGAGCATGGCGGTCAGTTCCGCAAGCACCTTGCTGTTGGTCGACAAAGTCAAATCCGCTCCTGTTTTCAGGTAGATGCCACTTCCATCCACTTCCCAATTTGCACGCTGCAACAGATTGGCATTGAAGCCATGCCCTTGGTGATCGAAGGAGTGGAGGTGATAGGACGATTCACCATCCTTGAGACAGAACGACTGTCCACCGGAAGTGCCCCCTCGACCAGTTTCCTCTTCTCTCTCTCTCTATTTCTTCTGTGTCCTTTCCCTTCTCTCTCTTCTATGTCTTCTTTCTCTTCTCTCTCTTCTGTGTCTTCTTTCTCTGCTCTCTCTTCTCTCTCTTCTGTGTCTTCTTTCTCTTCTCTCTCTTCTGTG